GTGCTCCGAGGGGCGGGGAGGCGAGAGATGGGGGGGTGAAAGGAGGGCAGGAGGAGGAGGAGGAGGAGGAGGAGGAGGAGGAGGATAGTCGATCCATTCGATCGATATTCGATCCCGTGTTTCGGGCTACCTGTCCTCACGAACTGCATGGCGAGCGCATGCTATGTGCCCTTTTCGGGCTTACTTATTTTACTTGTCTCAGGCGTTTTTCTTTTGTCCAGGGGTGCTCGCCATGCTTAATGCGTTACGCATTTTACCGCTACACGCCTGGCAGTTGGAGCCCGCTCACCTGCAAAAAAAAAGAGGCGGAGGAGGAGAAGGAAGAGGAGGAAGAAGAAGGAGGCTTCGTCTGAACGACCGTGTAGCCGACAAACAGCAGGAAACAGGAGGAGGAGGAGGCAGAGGAGTAGGAGGAAGAGGAAGGGGAAGAGGAGGGGGAGGAGGAGGAGGAGGAGGAGGAGGAAGAGGAGGAGGAGGATAGTTTGATCCCTCCACACGGCGTACGTACTCGTAGGGGTGGGGGGATAGCTGCGCCGCACGGGCACGCTAGCTACCAGTGCTTCAGTGCCTCAGGAAAAGGAGGATTTGTTACAAGGCCATTTCCCATGCAACATTGCATGCGCCTTTTTTTACAGTACCTTGTCATTCAACATGACATACCCCATATTTCCTGCAAGGCCACAGCAGGTGACATTTTTGCCGCGCATGCAAAAGAGTGGTCGGATTCACCACGCTTCATCTACGCACCATCGATACACATTCATATGACGTACCGTGAGAAGGGGGCGACGACCAACCCACGAAATAACGGATGATACATCTTGAACAGCAATACCGTAGAACCTCCAACCGCGACGAGGACGACGGCAACGACGACCTTCCACCATTACCCAATCTACGAGGACGACGGGCTTTCCAACCACTACAAAGGACGGCAATTCCAGACAAACACGACCCAAGCTCAGCTACTATTTTCAGTGCTCAAGTACAGCGACGCAAACATGACGAGGTCAACAAAGCCAACTTCGACAATGCTTTTTTCTGGACATCTCACTACGCATCGGGCACGAGTACATACCAGTCTCAACCAAGCGAGGATGGGCACACACGGTCCACGAACCACATCACAATGGTTTACCTGCCAGACATCAACCAGATATTCTTCCAGCTACTAAAGTCTCGACTGGACATTCGACACTGTATTACAATAGTGGAAAGCACGAGCTCCCACACCAGCATCTACAGCCACAGCATAGTGGCTTCATGTCTGTCAATTTGTCCGACGAGCTGACTACCGACGAAGCGGACAACCCTTCATATACAACGGTACGATTGGCCACGACATACGCCGAGAAGTCATCGTCGACCAACCATGGGACAAGAGCAACGATGACATCGACCACGACAAGGTATGCCTGAAGCAACCCCATTACAACAAGGACTGTACAGAACAAGGACCTTAAGGAGACGCTCTACAACATATTCGACCAATAGAGCGAGAAATGCTACGATTTTTCCATCGACGAAAAAACATTGGTCCACGCGAGGTACCAAACCACCATCACCAACACGCTCCTCAGTTCCATGGCCAATCCCAAGCACAACATCGTCACAAGGTCCGAGCCACGCCCATCCACCGACCGACCGGCCAATATATCCCATGCGCCAGGCGCCGCAACGCTACGCCCATCGTGGGCTACATCGATTGTTGACGAGTCCCACAGACACATCGCACCACCGACAACCCACGAGCAGCCCGACTACGTAGACCTACAAGACGTCGGCGACCACGCCGCGGACTTGCTCGACAAATGGACAGGCACGGTAAGGGAACCACTACCACAAGTACCACAGCAACCTCGACCACCTCCAACACACCATGAGCTCCACTCACCAACGCCCGACAACCCAGCTTGGCCACAAGTCATTGGTGGACTTACGCTAGTACCAGCTACCAAGCTGCATCCGCGCGCGCGTGCGGCCCGTCACCAGGAACAGCGACGCAGTCGCCGACAATGCAATCTCCTCGCCCGCGCTGTGCCAGCTTTGCATTCAGGCCACCGAGACTCATGCGTGCGAGGATGCTCAGAATGCCGATAAACATGGGCGCCGACAGTTCGCGCCACGGATGGATTCGGGAGCAAGCCGAGCAATAATGCAATCCTAGCACGTCGAATGCGACAACGAGGACAGGCTCCGCAAATACTGCGCTGGCCACGCGCTACCTACCCCACCGCAGAACCAGTCGTCACAACTCGACATCAGACCCAAGAGAGATCACCAACAAGCGAAACCACCACCACCAGTTCACGCACAACTGCCCGAGGCCAAGACGCCAACGCCACCCGCGCACCCAGCCCGACCGCGACGGCCCACCGCCATCCGCAACTCTTGGGGGGGCGAAGGCAACGGCGCAGCAATGCGCGCTGCCGTGGGGGGCTCAGATGAGGGGGGAAGCTGCGCCGACAACAGCGAAGAAAACGAGTGCGCTGTTACGCCCTTATTGCTCGCATCAATACCGCCGCGCGAGGGCCGCGACGCGCTCTGCCCTGCTGGCGGGGCAGCGCGCAGTGCCAAAGGCAGGGGTGAAGATGGCGACCGCGACAAGGGCAGCTGGCACTATGCAGTTTAGCGCAACGCAACAAGTAACACATGCACACACCGATTCCCAGACGACCATTTACAACTTCCGGGTTGGCACAGGTACCTTGGCAAATACAGCAGCGAATCATTCGTTCACGACAACCTCCAACCAACCCTTCCTCACCCGCTGCTGAGGCCTGATCCGCTGGCGACCCTGCTCTCCGCATCCAGGATGCCGCCGATCGAGCGGGCCGGATGCTTAGATCTCAGCGACGCAACGCCGGCAGACGATCACCTACTTCCACGGGAACCGCGTCCGTCTTGCCAACCGTGACCTCCGCTAGGAAGCTACATGGGTGACTTCGCAAACCACCGCCCGGTCAATTAGGGCTTCCGAATAGCAGTCAACACCGCCGGCAAACACTAAAGTTCTCATTCCAGCGACAACGCCATCGACGACGCACCGCAGCTGGCCAGGACCAACCAGGCAGCGCCGACGACCAAACAGCCAGCGCCAACCTGCCAGCAGACACCGGCGAGCCAAACCAGCCAGCACCAACGACCGACCCACTTACGACCCAGCAGACCAGCGCCGCACGTGGGATCAGGAGCCCACTTCACCCACCTCCACCTTGCTTCCCAGACCCCCGACGTAATGATTTTTTCATTACGTCGACCCCCAGAGGTCCCGACCCTTTCCCCATGACCGGCTTTGCATCCTGAGTCGTTTTTTGACGCTCCCGGGTCCCGGCGAGGGCCGCCGGAGGCCGAAAATTAGGAAAAACCTCCCGTCATGATTTTTTCATTACTCGAGGGGGTCTGGGTTCGCAGTCCCCATCGCTTGCCCGCCACTAGAGGCTGCAGGGGCTCAGCGCTGGCTGAAACACCCAATCAGAGCTATAGCGCCTCGCACGCATGCGTTCAAAAAACGAACGAGCGGGGCCCGCCCCCGTGCGTGCGCGCACGGAGCACCCAGGAAAGCCCCACCTGAGCTTAGCCCGGGCGGCCACGGGGACGCCGAGAGGAGGAGGAGGAGGAGGAGGAGGAGGAGGAGGAGGAGGAGGAGGAGGAGGAGGGCGAGCGCCAGGACGAGCGCCCTTCCCCGGGGCGCAGCGACGACGTCCCCGCGCCAGAAACCACACGCCACGGCGACGAGACGACCCTCGGTGCGCCCCCACGCGCGCGCCGCCTGGACTCGCAGCGCGCTCAACGAGGTCGAGGCCCCGTTCGACAGCCACCGCGCGCGCCTCCTCCCGCAGCCCGTCGTGGCCACGAAACGCCTGCTCGTAGAAGGCCCTGGATGGCGGGCCGTGCGCGCCGAAATCAGAGCGATAATACGCGACCGGCTCGCGCGACGTTCCTGGAGCTCCTGGAACGACGCGCTGGCGCGCGCGACACTCCTGGAACAACGCGCCGGCGCTACAACGGCTGCCCCGGGCCCGGAGGAAGAGGAGCAGGAGGGAGAAGAGGAGGGGGGCGACGATTAGGAGGACGACGTGGGCGGCGCAACCGCTTGTTTCGCTTGTGGGGGCCATATTCGAGGCGTGGTAGTCGGGGCAGCGGACCAGCCCTACCTCTTCGGCTGCTGGCAGGCCCAGCTCGCGTCGAGCGCTACCTGACCCTCCAGCGCGCCGACGTACCTGTCCTGCGACTCCTCCCTGCTCCGCCGCGGCGCCTTGTGCAGTCAGCACTCCTGCACCCTCGGGGCTTCGTGTCCTCGGTCGCCGACTGGTCTTCCTGTTCTCTCTCTCCGCGCGCCCGTGGCCTGTTCTCTAGGCGCCCTTCTACGGGCTCGTCCTGTTCGTGACCTTCTTTGGCGCTGCCCGGCGGCTGGTGATGGAGGAGCGCCTGTCCATGGAGTTCGCGGAGGTGCCCTTCCCTGTTCCCTGGCCCGACCCCAGGCGGCCTTCTCTGGGTTCGACCTGTTCGCGACCTTCTACGCCGCCGTTTGGGTGCGACCTGTACGCGTCCTTCTCCGCCGCCTGTTTCCTCGTCGCCTCGGGCGGCCTCCTACGGGTTTGACCTGTTCGCGACCTTCTACGCCGCCTGATTCCCTTGTCTCTCTCCCTCTCTCTCTCTCTCTCTTTCTCTCTCTCTCTCTCGAATTCACTTGGCCATGGGGCGGTTAGTCCCTCCTGTCCCCGTTGGTCCTCCTGCCCTGGCCCCACAGGCTCGCCTGCCCTGCCCCCCTGATGGCCGGCGGGGCCACCACCGAGGTGCTGGCGCGGGCGGCAACGGCGCCATTTCGCCAGCTACGGCTGGCCCCCCCTCCTTCCCCCTCCCCCTTCCCTGCCGCTTCGGCGGCCCCGCGGTCCTGGGGCAGCGCGGCCCCGGCCCGGCCCTGGGCTCCGCGGACAACGGCAGCGCCCTGGCACAGCGCGGCTTCGGCCCGGTCCTGAGCGCTCGCCCCTGCAGGT